CCCCTCCCCCCCGCGCGGCGTGCGGGAGGGGCTCCACGCCCGCTGCCGCCACTGCGGGCACCCGCTCGGGGGGACGTCGGTCGCTGTCGTCCTCGCGCACTTGGCGGAGAAGTGGTTCCCGGCGGAGTGCGCGAGGGCCCGGACGTGGCGCCGGCTCGGCGAATTGCTCAGGCAGGGGCGGCCTCGCGAGGCCCGGGAAGCCGCCGACCAAGCGCTCCGAAAGGGTAAGGCAGGGGATGCCCGGCATCAACTTCCCCTTAACGCCCCCGCCCGTTCGAAACGCTCCAGCGCGTTTCAGGTCAAATCATAGATGAGCTTTGCTGTAAAGGGTCTCCGATCCTGGGCCAGTGGACCAGAAAATAGCCCGAGGTTACTTGCGCGAAGGTATCCGGGAAACGTGCGGATCTGAGCCTGCAAGACACGCCCGTGCATCTTGGACGGTTCATGCCTGCGGTGACCCGGGCGTTGCAGATCACAAGCCTTGGTGCTTCTCAAAGCTCGAAGGATTCATCGGGTTATGTTGTGTAATCAGATGCGTTCTTTGCTTCTGGGAACTAGCACTGGAAAGGAAATCTAGCTTTTTAGTGAAAGTATGTAAATCAAATTTGAAACCGGTAGGGTTCTTAGATACTGTACCAGTGTTTTCACTCGCTGCGTTAAGATTTGAAGTTCAGACGGGAAACGTGAATAAATACACCGGATTTTTTCTTAATGTATATGTAAGGTTAAAAAGGTTAATCGTAAAGTAATATATAGTAATGGCTTTGTGGTGAGGGGTGGAAAAGTATTTACCTTGAAATGGTTTGCTGTGTTAGCAATGTTAAACAAAGCTATTTGCTTTATTCTTGGCTGTGTAAAATTCTCCAGAAGATGCAGAAGTTGGTGAAATATTTCCTTAGAGCTGAGGGACTGGTTGGAAGGAACTTTAATTAGAAGATACTCTTTAGGATGAGCATTATTAATGAATGTAGCAGCTAAGAGACAAGTTACTTTGTGCGGTTATTTTCTAAAGAGACAGGAAAATGCTTGAGCTATCATATTTCAAAAGTCATTTTCAGAATTTGTGTGCTGTGCAAAGAGGAATTTTTTAGATGGATGATCAAGTGTGTTTTGGGTAGTGTTTAAAGGAATTGGCTGTGAAACTGTTTTAGCACTGTACACCTGTTTGGAGGATTATGAATCACTCTGGACCTAGTAACTTTAGCAAAAGGAGGGTTATGTTCAGCCTCCCTCAAGTGTTACTGAGATAATTCACTGGCTGGTGCTAGTTGCATAAGGAAATGGGGGGAGGGAAAATGTTGTATAATGCTGGTGATATCACAGATAGGCATGTTGGGCCTTTCACAACACATTGCTGGGAAAAGATTTGGATATACTGAGGTCAAGAGATAAGATTAGTGTAATTCAGTAAGCACATTAGAGCATTCTTATCATTGACTAAGTACTTACAGTACTATGTAAAAAACATTAATGGCAGTTAACCATATTTATATTTGTTTCCTAATTATATATCTTGACTGCTAGCCATCATGACACTAATTTGTCCAATTATTTCTGTTTTTCTGATAGTTTATATACTAGAGACATACTTATTCTTTATGAACATTGTTCAGTTTTCATTTTGTACTTAAGATTCTGTGATCTTGATATTGTATCTTCTAAAATTAAAACAGATGCAGGAAAAGAAAGTTTAAATAATCAGGTTAGCGTAGTTTCAGGCTTGAAATTTGAAACCAGATATCTTAATATTGAGGAAAGGTCTGTTACACTTGAACATTTTGTCAAGGAACTCAGTTAATATAGATGAACTGCAAAGTATTAAAACAAAATATTGTTCAATTCATGGCTTGTATATGACTTGTAAGGGATAATTCTGAATGTCTGAGATACAATTATTAGATAATTTTAAGATGTAGAAATAACTGCAGTAAAGGTCTGCAGTCTGACTTAATATGCATGGAGTAGAGAAGCAGTAAAATAACTAATGCAAAAGCATGGTACAGGGTTATTACTCTAAATATTTAATACAACTCTGTGATTAGGATGAACCTTTGGGATGAAAAGCAGAATATAATAATTTTAAAATGTGTTGTTTGTATAATATTCTTCAATCACATGACTTCATTAACAGAAGTTGTTAACACCAGGTCTTAAGAGATCAAGTAGAATGAATCTACAAAGAGCTATGCTTTTGTAGAAAGGACTTCAGCTCTACTTGTTTTAAATGCTTTTTCTTATTGTGCACTAACAAGATTTATAAAATATTTAGAAAACTGCATCTGTAGTGTATGTTCCAGTGCATAGGAAGATTAAGAATGGATGGTTTTTAAAATAGATACAAGCATGAGTAATTAAACCTTATGACAGTTTTAAAAATTGCAGGTTACTGACAAATTTTGTGACATCAATAGGAAGACAGCAGTTGTATAATTTTGATGTGCTGCCTTGGTACTATGTTTTTCTCATATAGAAGGATTGTCTTGAATGCAGATTTTGATATTTTTCTGATGAGTTTATGTTTGAATATTAATGAAAAAATTATTTTCCCCCACCATTACCTGCCATCGCATTAGAAAAGAAAGACAAAAATACTTAATCTAGTAATGTAATTGAATGTGCCTAAGTTCACTTGGAGAAATGAACAAAATGTTTTTTAAAATTTCTTTGTAAATGTGCTTAAGTTGCTTTAAATCCTAAAACTAGTAAAGTCCTGTGATGCTCCTTACAATTAGCCCTTGAAGGTTATTTTAAAATTACATGCTTTTGATTCTTATGGTGCAACTACAGGTGACATTGGAGATACAATGATAGCATGGTTCTTTCCTAACTTCCTCCCTGCCCACAAGCAAATGGTCTTTAAAGTGAAGATTAGTAAATCTTTAATCAAAAGTTGCATTGGTTTTTGGCTGTTCGGTTTTCATATTTGTAAGTAATTGTTTTATAGAACTGTCAGCCACAAAATGTATTGCTGAAAAACTCAAAGAGTAGAAGCATTGAATTATGCCCTCTTTGCTTTTTAGTACATTAAGAAATTATAACATATTTCTGATAGACTTCAGGGAACACAGTGAACTTTATTTAAATTAAGTGAAGAAAGATTTCAGTCAAGGCATCGCTACTGATTTGTGTTAAAATCTACAAAGACATGAGGCCACATGTGGACCTAAACTCAGTTGTACTTTCCAGAATTATAGATTACTTAAAATTTTCTTGAAATAGCTTTCAGAAGTTTCTTTTCAGTATATACACAATATTTCTTGTAATTAGATTGCTTTCTTTAGTATCTTTCAAAATTTTTACAAATACCTGTCAAAAAGTTAGTAACCTGTCTACCTTCTTCATCCATAGAAGCATTTTCTTGCATGATTACTTGGAGGCAAATCTTACTATCTATAGCTAAGTATCTGTTGTCTAGGTTTATATCACATGTGCTATTTAAGTTACAGAGTTTTGCAATTCAGGTTCACTAAGCTGCATTCTAAATATGTATGTGTGTGGTTTTTTTTTTTATTTTAGATCCCAGTGATTTAATGTTAAGAATTTACAGAGCTGAATCTTATGCTGGTCTCCAAGAATTTAAATCTGCACTAGATGAACTGAATGCTGTTACTGCTAAAATGCCAAATTGGCCTGAGGTAGGTATAAATGCAAAGCTATACCTATACTCTTTAGCATAGGTTTCTGTATTTTTCATAATGTATCTAAAAGGCCAACATGATAAATTATGCCATAAAGTAGTTCTATTTTGTTTTTGTTTTTGTTTTTAAAGCAGGTGTAATGTATATTTCTTGCAAAAGATTTGTATCATTGCCACCGTTCTGCAGGACCCAGAAAACATTGCCTAGAGTATGGGTTTCAAACTTTTTCAGGCTGCAGGGACCTGTTAGTTAAAGAAAAAAAAATCCCAGAGCTCCTGATCAAGAGGCAAAGTCCTAGTGATAGAAAAATGACTGTGTTTAAATGAACTTTTTTTTAACTTCTAGTCTCTCATGGAACCCCATCCAAGTTCCAAGGAATTACAGTTTGAAAAACCATGACCTAGGCCAGTGTTTTCTCAACCTCAGCAATTTTAAAATGTGTGGATTTCAACTCCCCAGCATGCTGGCTGGGGAATTTTGGGAGTTGAAGTCCACACATCTTAAAGTTGCTGAGGTTGGGAAATACTGGCCCAGAGCATAGGCTGAGAACAGTTTTTGGTCTGAGGAATGCATTAGAAGCCAGCAGTTCCAGCACTGGTACTGAATAACAGTTGTTTTGAACTTCCCTGAACTGTAATCTATATAATGCATTCCATCAGGCTCTTGAACTATTTCTTCTAGCTGGTTATTTCAAGGACTATATCTTTAAGAACCAGTTCCAAAGTAGGCTTTTTTCCCTCTCCTCCCTTCTGATCTTGCTTTTCTTTGTTGTGTTCTTTAGCTTATGATGTGGGAATAATAGTAGTTATTTGGTTTATCTTTGAAATGAGTACAATAATCAAGTTTTTTTTGTTGTTAAAATATGGGATGAAATGCTTTAAATAAAGCTCTGGACAAGCACGTGGAAATATAGCACACTGTGGACACTGCAGGCTACAGCCAGATAGTCAAATATTATAGTTCATCAATGGGAAGAGGCTTCCCTGTAAGGAGAAACCCTTTGGGCTATATCCAAGGATATAGAGGATCTATCTGCTTGGTCTGGAAACAATGGCAAGGATGTTTGAGCCTGCATACAGATACTTCAAGTTTGGGTCGATTATCCCTTACCCTTAATTCTACAAAAGAACTGGCCAATTTCAGTCTCTGGACACATTATACAGTGTCAACTCAATGTGCAGTATCTAGAAGATCCTGAGTAAAGGATGTTTAAAATGTGTAAAATATAATTATTGTATTCTGTAGTATAGTTTGTATTAATAAGAATGTAAAGGTTTGCAAAGGTGAAAAATATTGTCTAATTTGTGGCTGATGCCTCCTTGCGGTAACCTCCCTGACAGTTACTAAAGCAATTAAAGAAGGGTTATGACTTGCACATTATATAGGAAGATTCAAAAGGTCAAGCTTTGACAGGAAACATGCAAACATTCTATTTGCTGTCATTGGTTTGTAGTCATTCTATATGCTCTCATTTCATGGCAGAAACTGAGGAATTTTAGTTCATTTGTCACAGACGTCTGCCTTGAAACTGTACACAAAGGGCAGTTACAAAGGGCTGTCAGGAATCTTATAGCAGTGAGGGTTCCAGCTGGAGGAAAAGGCAAAAGATCAGCTAAAATTACCGAAAGAAAAAGCTAAGCACTTGTTAGGCTTTGGAAGTAATAGTCCAGTATAGTTTGTGGCCAGAGTAACAGCAAAAGACAGTTGGCTTCAAAGAAGCAGGAAAGCTTCAGAGGATACAGTTGTGGTATCTGCTTGGCTGTAAATTTGGAGTAGTTATAGGAAGCCTATGAAAAATAGTATCTGTCTCAGAAAGCCACAAGTGTATTATGAATGGCAGCCAAAGAACAAATTGTCTGAGTTCACATATCATGCTAAGTTTCGTCCTTTAAAAGAGATAAGAATTCTGCCCCTTCAGTGATGTTACTGCAGTGCAACCATCAGAGGACAACAGTGGGGAAAAAAGATCTCCTGCTGACTGATACATGAACCAGATCACTAAGACTAGTGCTAATACTGTAAATCTTGTACCTAGTTAGCCTCTTTGTTCTGGGATGGCACTGTACAAAGGATAATTGGCATATATGTTTTATTTAGGAAATGTATTTAGTTAATTATTTAGTAATTAGTGTTATGAGCCACGCAGAGTCCCCCATTGGGGGGAGATGGGTGGGGGACAAATTTAATAAATAAATAAATAAATAAATAAATAATGAAACAATAGCTTAAAATAACAATATTCAGCATATTAATATTCATTTTATTTTTCCTGTGCCTATAACTGGGTAAAGTATGAAATAATAAAATAATAACTTAAAAAATAGATACAATAGCAAACTAGAATCCAAATTATGATCACAGCTAAACTATAGAGCCTCAATAACCTCAGTGGCCCCTAGTACTTAAAACAATCATTAGAACTTATATATAAATAACAATAAATTTCTGCATAAATAATACTTAAAGTGGCTTCACAAATACCCATAGAAATTAAATGTTTTTAAGTAACTTTTAAAATTTTGGTAAACTTCATTCCAGGCAAGGTATAATTCTGGTCAAAGTTTGGTTCCAGTGCACTCATCCTACACAGAATAAGCCCTCAACCCTACATGGCTAAGGTGGTACCTGTTGGCTCTGGCTGGACAGTTGGATCCAGTACATACGTACATGAACTACAAGTAGATTTTCTAGCTACTTAGGTTAAAATTTAACTAGTACATAAATACCCAGCCAGCACAGGGATTGGTAATAGAGGTAGTAGTAGTTTGGGGGAGGTCTAGAATGCTGGGGACTACTCTGTTCTGGACCCTCTTTGGGATGGAGAGAAGAATTGGGTAACCTGGCCAAAAAAAATGCTGCTTTAATATGTATGTGAGATGATAGGGCATAAGCCATTCTCTAGTGAAGAATACATTTATAACATTTGATTCTATAAATTAGTGTACTTAAACTGTTAAAATATATCATGTACGTGAAACAGATTTTGTTCATTCCTTACTGAGACTTAATACCTTGCAGGGAAAGTTATCAGAATTCTATGATGATAATCAGATTTCAGGAATAAGAAGTTAATATGAATTTTTAAGGAAACTGAAGTTATAGTTAACTCCTCTAGTGTACAGTAATGCTACCACCATATTTGGTATCATAGTGAACTCTGTTTTGCCATATTTGTATTCTAAAAAACCCATTCATTGGGGTTTTTTTTCCTTTCCATTTGGTACTAGCAATTGAGTATGTGACTAATTTTCCATGATTAGTCTACTTCAACTTCCCCATTCCTCTGTCTTCTTTTGTTTAAACCAAATACAATCCACAAATCATATTGGCTGAAAAAAAGCAGCTTACCATAGCAAAAAAAGTCTCATCAGTTCCAAATCAGATTTCATCAGCATGAAACAGTCAAGGAAACGGTTTTGAAAATTAAGGAATTAATAAAGATATTATCTGTCTTTTTATACTTTATATTGATAGAGCATAGCAATGGCAGAACACACAACTATTCCATTCTTTCTTTTAACTCAACAGTCTAACTACAACTTTGCATGGTGAGTAGTGCACTCAAATGTATTGGCAGAACAGAGCTCTGAATTCCATCAGAAAAATATCCTGTTTGCCATGATTGTACTCTGCTGCATAATATTCCTATTAAGCTATTTGGAAGTGGGTCTTATTTCAATGAAACTTTCTTCTAAGGCTGTTCATAAAATCTCAGCCAAACTTTTATTAACGGGAACTTAATTTCCTGTATGCACTTGAAGCAGAATATTCACTGAATTGTATAAAGCAAAAATATTGGGAAGTTAAGCAAATAATTAGTTTCTAGGCTGAAACAGTTGCAACAATATAATAGTAGTAATAAATAATAAAGAACAATAAAAGATTATTTCTATTAAGGATGCCCAAGATAAAATACATAATGATTCTAACTGAATATATCAATAATTAAAAAAATATTCTCAGTAGAATAATATTGAAGGGAATGTAACCAAGGAAGTAAGTAATGCATTTTTACATGTTGAGTGATGTAGTTGAACACACACACATGCACAAGAGTTATTTGCCCCAATATTACTGGAAATCTATTCGTTATACCTTTGTAAACTAAGTTTTTCTAGCTTCCTTCAGTGAGACTTATATAATCGATTTTGAAGGTTAATAAAGACCTTGCTGACTAGGCAAGCTATTGCCCAATTTGATACAAAAATACTGACAGTGATCCTGGTATGTACATTGCAAACAATATGACATTCAGTTGTTCATTATGCACAGTCTGGTTTTATGAAAGTTCACCAAGCATCTGCCAATGTGAGATTTCAGATTGACATTCTACATGCACATTCAGAAAAGTTGCAAGCAGCATTGTTCTTATTGGACATTGAAAAGGCCTTTGGTATGTGAAGTGGATCTTTTTGATATACGTATATCCACAAATAAAATTTTCTTCATTTGAAGATGAAAATATATATTGTAATTCTCTAAATTAAATAGCAATATAAATGGATGGTCAAAAATTCTCTTCAGTTTATAGGAAAAGGTAAATGAAAAAATATTCAAAATAAACCTGTGCTAATAGCTTTATGTTATTTCAAGCAGATTAATAATATATTAAGACATTTTCTATGGGAAGGACAAAGCCCTGGATTTTGTCTAAATTACAGCTCTCATATGATGATATGGGTTTTAACTTTCCTAACTTTCAGGTTATCATTCAACCTTTATTTTGACTTCAGTTTTTCTGTAGAACACATGTGACCAAATTAAAAAAAGCCACAGTGGGTACAAGTAGAAGGTTATTAATGTGACCCATCTGATCTCATGGTAGGGACTAGACTTCATTTTTACCAACATCTCTGTTGAATTAAATTGTATTAAAGGCTGTAAAGGTACCTTTGGAAGATGTTGGATGAAAGTATAATTTCACAGTTCACTCATATAATACAGGCTTGTTCTATTGCTACATTTTGGTTTAGTAACAGTAAGTTTATTAATGTAATGTTAAAAAAATCAATACAGTTTAAAGATGTGAATGTACTTTTGAATTATGTATCCAAAATTTGAAATTTATCACTATGAGATATTGTGGTTTTGCCTAGCATGGAGTAAACCAGAAAATTTTACTGTTCAGTATTGGAAAGAAAATATATACGGTCCAGATATACAGTCTTGGATCAACAATATGTGTTCAGTTTCTGTTTATGAAATGGCTGTCTATTGATGTACTAGAAAGATTGATTAGTATTATTCCATGTGGTCAGGATTTAATATGTTTAATAAGACAAAATCCAGATCATTTGCTAGGCCTTATTTATAAATTGTGGGTGAAATATGACTCAGAAACCAAACATGTTAAAGATTGACTGATTCATTCATTCATTCATTCAGATTCTATGGCCGCCCATTTCAAACAAGTGACTCTGGGTGGCGAACAATCATAAAAATCACATGGGATTGGGGGAAGGGCTATAAGGGCCTTGTCAGAGCCTCCAATTGAGGGGCTGGGCTGAAACTGAGAGGGGCTGCCCATCAATAGTAAACCCAGGGCAATTGCTTCTCAACTCTGCCTCGGATCAGGGCATTCACATTTTTTTTTTGAAGGCAGTTGATTGCAGAAGCTACAAGAAGAAGAGTTTCTCATACAGATCAGTTGCTGGTTCATGGTGGAGAACGTGCCCGGAGGGAAAAGCCAGGTTACGTGTGTATTTGCAAGGGGCAGGCACTCTGATCGTTCCTGGCCAATTCCAGTACATGTGGCAAAGTTTGAAAGTCAGCCTCTGCATGTGATCAGGACTGAGATTGGCTGTATTCCTTACACAGATGTAGTGAGTTGGGATGCCACAGCCATGTGTGTAGTGCTCTATCAAGTAAAAATCCATCCAATCTCGGCTGTGATTAAAGATCACATGATTAAATGAATTCAGAATTTAAATATAATAATTGATATTCAACAATGGGAATTTCAGTGGAAGAAAAGCATTAAATTTACACTGAATATTTATTTGGTACAGTTGTAAGACTAATCAATTAATAAACTATTACTACTACACTGATAATTTTACTTAGAAAACACCGATATATGATGTTTTATTGCTGGAATATTCCTCCAGTACCGATTGCTAAAATGGACAGTTCATTCTCTAAAAATCGTTGGAAATGTAATGACTGTGTTGGATTGTTTTGCTGTATTTGGTGGCAATGATGTAAAGCTTACCAATTTTGGGAAATGACTTTTAATAGAATGAAACAAATTTTAGGAACTGAATTTCCAACATGCTATTTTAAAGTAAATATTATTAAACCTGATATTCAAACAAAGTATACCAAATTAGCTTTGTGCATGATAAGTGCTATAAGGATACTACGTGTTTCTTATTGGAACCCACAGTTCCTTCTGCAGAAGAATGGCTAATTAAGCTCTGGGAGTATACCATAATATCCAAAGTAAATTTGTATTTCAAAAGTAAATCTGACACAGCATTTAATTCAAGCTGGAAACCATTTTTGGATTATAACTCTACTATTACATCTGAAATTTGGGTTCCTCTTAAAGTCTTCAGTTGCTTGGATAAAAGTTACTGTATACTTAATCTCATTTGATGATTTATCTGCATTAATTATTGATGTTGATATTTATGTTACTTAGATTCTAACAATGATTTTTAGTTTTTAAAACAATATAATGTAATTATGCTTGTATATTCCTTGTTTATCTGCCTTGGGTTTTATTTATTTTTCCTTTTTACCTTTTCTTAAAGTGCTTAATAATATAAAGATGTAATTATATATTTAAAAGTTACTCTGAATTATTTCCTCTATAAGTATTATAGCATATTATTGTTTTATTTTAGCTTCATGTTTGTGTCATTTATTTTAGTTTTAGTGGCAGGAAATCTAGCAGTGTTTTTAAAAACAAACTTGAACTTAGTAACAGGAAGCAATAGTGGCTTCAGGAAAAGCATGCTTAGGATTAGGTTTGTAAAGCAACTGAATCACAATAAATGTGTCTTATATATACAATCATCTTCCAGGTATATTTCAGAAGAGCAACAATACTTAATAATGCTGGTTCTGTAGAAGATGCCTTACAGGTCTTTCTTCATTGTCTATCCCTTGATGAAGGATTTCTTCTAGCAAAACTAGAAGTGGAAAAGGTACTTGCACGGTCTTATAAATAACTTTTTCTGATCAGGCTTATTTTTGTTTAAGAAATTAGGTTGGAAAGCATGCAGATGATGATTTCTACAATTCTTTCCATCTCCTTAATAGCAGCAACTTTTTGGGTCATGTGACCAGTGGGAAGGGAGGGGTACTTAGAATGGTGCAGTCAGATTCCAGGCCATTGTCCAACTGCCTCTCCCGTAGGGAGGATAAACAGAGTTCCAAGTCCATTTACCTAATTTCTCTCCAATATTCTGTTAGATTGAAAATAATAATAAAACAGAGATTTTCATGCTCTTGAGATGGGGAGTGGTGTTGGGGGCAAAATTTTGCAAGAATCCAAGAAAAGTAATTATGCTACCAAAAAACAGTACTTACGGCATCAAAGCCCTTTCACAAATTCTAGGAATTCTCTGGATCACAGAATAGATGCTAGGAGATACGTGAAGAGCATACAGTACTGTTATACAACTATTGCTTTCATTTTAATCAATGTTATAGATAACTAATATTCATGTAGAAAACAAAAAGCAGGAATATAGTCTTGGTTGATCAAACAGGGAAGATTTTCAGAGGCAGCTGATTTTGTTCAAAATAAGTGTCCTTAAATTAACGCTTCATAAAATGTTAATTAGTCCAATAAGGAGCTAGATAAAGAAGTCAGCTGAGTGGTCGTTTCTGTCTTCTGTGAGTGAAGATTTACATGTCTTTAAGGATTAGTTTCTGTAGGAGTGAATGGAATAAAGTACTAATTACTGTAATCCCATAAGCTAGGTATGATTTTATTGGAGTTCACTTAGGGGAATTTAACTGTAGCAGTTTCAAGAACCAATTTTGGCTGAAAAGAAATGTATCAATTAAAATGTTATCAGAAAAAATTGCAACTAAAAGTGTGTGTACTGTAGTTTCAAAGCAATGGAGTAAGATTAGGAGAAATAATTGTTGGTTAATTTGAAACTTCTGTCAGTTTGTGAGAGAATGATGAGCTTCTATTTAATAATGTCTAAATATTGGAATAATATTGAAGAAATCTGTGCTATATTTGAAATGTAATAATTGTTGTAGTTTATTCCTTAATGTCAATTTTACAGATACTGTGCAATTTGCTGTCACCAGAAAACGTGAGTGAGAGTTTGAAAGAATCTGCTTTAAATTCTTCACATGTTCGAAGTAAACAGCTTATACACAGCTCTGAATTTGAAATGGAAGAGTCTTGTGATTGTTTACAGCTCACCCCAGTGTCAGTAAGTAAACATTCTCATGCAAAATAATTATGAAGATTACTGGAACCAGTTTCGGTTTTGTGTTCCATCCTGCTTTTTGTGACTTGAAAATGTTTTAATGGTGACTGATTAAACCTCCATGAGTCAGTTAATTGAAATGGTCAGTACAGTGGTCCCTTGGGTCACGAACTTAATTGGTTCCACAACTCTGCTCACGACCCAAATTGGTCGCGACCCAAATCAAATTTTCCCATAAGGTTCAATGTAAATACGGTTAATCCGTTCTGAACCATATGTATTTTTTTTTAAAACCACAAAAATATGAAACACAGTACAGTACAGTATGGAGAGAGAGAACGCTAATCTTGCTTGAGGCGACTTCGGGTGTAGAGGACAGGAAGGCGGGTGGGGAGGCGGTTATTGCTTGGAGGGAGAGTCCCCCTTCCCTACAGGAAGCCACGACCACGTTTCACAGCAGGGAAAATGGCCGCGGATCCTGTTCGTCACCTGATGCAGAGTTCGCGAACGGAAGCAAAATTTTGCGAACGGTGCTGTTCGTGACCCGAATTGTTTGTGAACAGAAGCGTTTGTTAACCGAGGTACCACTGTATATATGTTCAATAAGTAAAGAAAGATGGAGTACCTGAAAAACTGAAGCTGCTAATGGAATATTAGTTACCATTTCATTATCAAAATTTTATAAGACATGTTGATTTTTGTTTCTTAAATCTTTTCTGATAGGACTTAGAAGTGCCACAAATTACATTAGAAACCATTGAAGGAAGTTTGCAACGTGCCCAGTCTGCAAATTCTCTCAATTCAGTAGAAAAAGATGCCAAAGATGATGGATTAAAAAGAGTTTCTTCTGAACCATTACTTTCTGGCCAAGAGAAAAGTGCTTTTTTAAAAAGGAAGTTGTCCTTTTCTGAACAAGATATTATTTTTTGTGAAGATGGAAGGAATAAACATAAAAAACGAGGTAAATATTTAGTCATGTGTATTGTTTTGTGAGTTATGCACTTTTTCATGTTTTAATCATACTTGTTTGTTTGCTTGTTTAGAAACTCTAAAAGGGAATGCTACCTTTTCAGTCAGTTGTGGAGCAGTTCCAGAAAATTTGGTTGATGTAGCAGATTTTGAATGCTCGTTGTGTTTGAGGTAATACAGTCTGAGTTCAATGTTTATGATCTTGTTATCCCATTACTTTAAGGAAGCTTAACTGTTAAACTCACTGCGCAGAAGCTACTGAAAACAATTTCTTTGTGAAAATGTTTCCACGATTTGTAGGGAGTCCCTTAATATGACTGCAATAGTAAGGTGAGGTTTCAGGCTATTTAAATAAGGTGTAACAGATTGGGCTGGCTAGACTTGTTTAAAATGTATGCTTAGCAATTAGCTTATTGTAGGACTGGATGGCCTCAGAGCTCATTTTTTAGTAGCACTAAGAGTCCTCAAAATAACACTCCTAAACAATGTAACATACTTTTTACCTATTTTCAGCTTGAAATGAAAGAAAATTCGCTTAATATAGGTATAAAAGTTTCCCATTACTGGAGAGGCAGTGTGGAGTAGTGGTTAAGGCACCAGGCTAGAAACTGGGTGACCTTGGGCCATCACTCTCTCAGCCCTAGGAAGCAGGCAATGGCAAATCACTTCTGAAATCTTGCCAAGAAAACTGCAGGGACTTGTTGCCTGGAGTCAACACTGTCTTGAAGGCACCCTCCCCCCACACACACACAAAAATTGCTGGCTTCAGAGGTTGAAATATTCCCTGTCTCTAACTCACTAATAAATACTAATCGTTTTTGTGTGCATCCTTCAAGTTATTTTCTTCTGACTTATTGTATTTGCATCTTAATGATACATTCACTAATTCCTTGCAACATTGTTTCAGGCTTTTTTTTCATCCTGTGACAACACCCTGTGGCCATACATTTTGCAAGAACTGTTTACAACGCTGTTTGGACCATGCTCCTCAGTGTCCCCTCTGTAAAGAAAGCTTAAAGGAGGTAATGCTTTTTATGACCATTTATGATAAGAGGCATCTGTTGTAAAGCAAAGTTTGAATCCAAAGTTGAAAAAAACTGGTGGAAGTTTAATAACCTTTTGTTCTGTGAATGGAAATGGTTTCTAGTTGCAAAATCTTCCTCTTAAAATGTAATTAAGGCTGCACATTAAGGCCTTATTCCTTACAAGTTTTAAAATCAATCTCATCGTATCTTTAGAATCTTCAAAATCAATTTTAATATGTTAGAATGTTATTACCTTTATTTTTTAAAATATGTAAAAATGAGTAACTGCACACTAAAATATCAGTGATTTTTATTTGTGAACTGCCTTACATCTTTTTCATAAAGTTGGGGAATTAATAGTAAGAGTTACAGAGCTTTCTCAATATGGTGAATATACATTAAAAGAGATTATATCCTATTTCCAGCAAATGCCAGTTGAATACATGTTGTTGCTTAGTGCAGGCCTTGCTTGAGCACTATGTGTTACAAGTAGTCCTCAGTTAATGACTGTTTGTTTAACAACGGTTCTAAGTTACGTCAGCCTCTGAAAGGGTGTTTTATGGCCTATAAAACACTTCCAGCTATCAGAAAATGTTGTGCTGCCCCCCCATCCTGGCATGGTCACCTGGCCGCATTTCGTGCACTTGGCAACCAACTTGCATTTACAATCGGTTGCTAAGCACCCCGCGATCATGTGATTGCCATTTGCAATCTCTGCTGGCTTCCCCTGGAAGTCAACGCAGGGAGGTTTGCAAGTGGAGGGGACAGAGGGAAACCTCTCAGCGGTATGTAGGAGTGGAGCTCAAATCCTGGAGATTTGAGCCCTGTACCTGCATACCGCTGACAGGTTTCCCCTCCCCATTCAACAGTACACAGGAATGGAGCTCAAATTTTCGGGATTTGAGCTCTGTTCCTCCAGCCCCAGGAAGGATTTCCCTTCCACCTGTGGAGGGGAGGGCAAACCCTCTGGTGGGGTTTAGGAACATTTGGGAGCTGCCTGCTGAGGTGATTTCAGCTCTGCACTGGAGACAGCTCTTTTGCTCCATCCAAATAACAACCCGGGAGATAGCTTAATGACTAACTGGGAGTGCCCGGATTGAGGTTGTTGAACGAAGCAATCATTTGGGCATCTCACTTAACGACCGCTTCACTCAATGTTCAAGATTCCAGTCCCAATTGCAGTCATTAGGTGAGGATTACCGGTACTATGCAGTGGTGCATGTATAATAGAGGCAGCTGCTTTGGAACCAGGTACAGGGGGCCCAACCAGACCTCCAAACCTTAAAAAACATTTGTGGTCAGCTGCAGGACTAGCATGCATACCCATCAAGGGAATCTAATTTGCCTAAGATGATGTGATGGGTGGAGATGAAATGGCAGACAGAAATCCATGCAGGCTGCCAGTACCACTCTATTTCTGAGAGAGCATCTCATGTTTTTAATGGACCACCACTGTTGCCATTCCTCCCTTATAAACAAGAGCTGCTTATATGTGCAAGCTCTGGGCACCAGAACAGAGTTTTGGTGAGTGAAAGAGGAGGAACTATGATTGCTACTTCTGTGGATCTCCTGAAAATAGGCCAAGGAAGCATTGGGCCATGAGATTCTTGATTGCAAACCTAGTCAGTTGAAAGGAGACTTATGCTTAGGAGACCCCCACACCCACAAACTTAACTCTCTCTCATATATCATGGTATATTTCTTTGAACATATAAAAGGGCAAGAGATGATAATCAGTATGGTCAGCTATTTTCTGCTTAATTCTTTGAAATTGAAATTACATGAAACAAAAAAACTGAGCAGCTTTTATGTAAGAATTTATAATGGCTTAACAATTTATCTTTCATTTTAGTTTTTGGCACGTAGAGAATACAGCACTACACAGTTGTTAGAAGAACTAATAGTGAAGTATTTACCTACTGAATTATCTGAGAGAAAAAGAATTAATGACAAAGAAATAGCTGAACTCTCAAGGTAAGTTTAGTTGTGTGTACATGTATGCATATGCTTTTGCGTGTAATAAAGCTTGTTAACAGACATTTAGAATAAAGACTAAACTGTTTTGGAATAGTAATCTTACAGAATATTATATGACTCTTGTACCACAAAACCAAACTGAAAAATTCTAGTAATTAAAACATCCATGTTCCATTTATACAGGTTAACAGTTAAGTGGAGTAAGATTTTGTTAACATTCCTTATCTTTGTTAATATTATGTTAACTGTAAAACTTGTGTTAAGTTACTGTAACAGTTTGTAGATTCTATAAGAATTAATATGCAGGAGACTGTACAGAAAATATCACTAAATATTAAATATAAATACTGCTATCTGTAATTTCAAATGCCTCTTAAGTGCCTAATGTTGAATGATGGTCCATATTGAGCCACAATTTGATGCAGTGTGTTAAAGTTTTGGACTAGTTGTCCATTCACTTTGAAGAGAATGCAAGGATATAATTTAATGTTGGGGGAAGGATATTGGCGAAGGATGGGATATCTTGAGCTAAATATTCCCGCACAGATAGAATTCTAATTTTAACATTTTATTTTGTGCATTCTATTTTAAGCTTGACCAAGAATGTTCCTATCTTTGTTTGCACTATGGCCTACCCAACTGTGCCTTGCCCCCTCCATGTGTTTGAGCCAAGATACAGACTGATGATTCGAAGAAGTATAGAAACTGGGACAAAACAATTTGGGATGTGTGTACATGACCCCAAAAATGGGTAAGTTTATATTCATAATCTGAAAACCAAAACATATAAAGTATTTTTAAGCTGGCCATTGACACAGTACCCTTTCTTCTAGATTTGCAGATTATGGCTGCATGTTGTACATTAGAAATCTTGACTATCTGCCAGATGGACGATCTGTTGTGGATACAATTGGATTAAAGAGATTCCGAGTTATTCAAAGAGGGATGAAAGATGGTTATTGCACTGCAGACATTGAGGATTTAGAAGATATAAAGGTACATAAAACATCTATTTTTGTCTCTACTTACAGAAGACACCTTGGATATTGTAGCCCTGTTCCAATGTGCAACTTTCCCTTAATATGATGGGAGAAAGGGAGAGATTCTACTTGCTGTGACTGTCAAGTGTATAAAATTCCAGTTAGATCCCATGTTGGTAAGATATTGATTTAATTTGTTGTTACAGAGGGCAGAGGTTCTTAAACATTTTGTGCCATGGATCCCTTTGAGGGTCTGTGAAAGCTACAGACACCTCCTCAGAAAAATGTATTTAAATGCATAAAATAAAATGCATAAATATAGATCATATTGCAAAGGAAACCAATTATGTTCAAATACAGTTATCAAAATATTAAATCTATAATATAGTAATATACGTGCTTCTTTATTAATCCATTAAACCAGTAACAAGACAGTATCTCTTTTTAGGGTATAATAATTTTTGATAGTGAGATTTATTGAACGTTTTTTGGTCTAAAGGCCATAAGTTATTTTGTTGTCTACATATATTATTGAATTAAAAGCTAAATTTCAGTTAAAGAAAATAGAGGAAAGGATAAACCAACTCAGTCAAAACCATGAAACCAAACTACGCTGTCCCAGAACAGATCATCTTACTCTGTCCCAGGGCCTGCTGAAAGAGCCAAGTTTTTACAGTAGGATTGGAGCCCTATAGAGCCTGGGAGAACACTGTTCCACAGGGTAGGTGCAGCTGCAGAGAAGACTTGTCTCCTAGATCTCACAGGATGACAGTGCTTTATACCTGGTATCTGGAGTACATCAACCTCTACTTAGTCTTACAGTTTAGGCAGAAATGAGAACAGAAAGGCAGATCTGTAGCTAAACAAGCTAAAAGGCTTTATGTGGACCAACACCTTGAATCACACCAGAAAGCCCACCAGTAGCCAGTAGAGCTCACAGAGCTGAGATGTGACATGGGCAACATGGGAACTTCCTAACTCACTCATTAGCTACATTTTGGCCAACTATAGCTTATGAGTGGGCTTTAAAAATAGCCCCATGTAGTGTACATTGCAGTAATCCAAGCAGGAGGTGACTTAGTCATGAATAACTATGTGAAGAGCCTTGCAATCCAGGTTCTTTTCATAAAAAACAAAATAATAAAGAGATAGAGCATGCTGCAAAGTAAAGCAGTAGCCTAAGGTGTACTTATTTCCCAAAGTGCTGCTTGGTTTTTGTTGGGATCAGATAGCTTATTTGAATGTTCCTTAAGAAATCATGGGAAATAGTTCCTCTAGGGAGTTGTAAGATCCCTCCTGGTACTGTTACAACCACCAAAACTTTTCCCAATTTGAAACTACTGTTAATTTCAGTATCACAACTTAATGAAATGTACACACACACACACACACACACACACATAGGTAGTACTCGGGTTACAATGGCAATTGGGATCAGAATTTCCATCGCTAAGCAATGCACTCATAAAGTGCAACATCATGTGACCATGTCGCTTAATGACAGCAATTCTGGCAGTCCTGGTTGCCATCATTAAGTGAGGACCATATGAGTTGTTAAGCGTGGACCTCATGTGATCGTGACTTCTGACTTCCTGCCGGATTCCCCGTTGACTCCGCTTGTGGGAAGATGGCAGGGAACATTGGAAATCACAATTATGTGACCATGGTTCGCTGTGATGTAATCACTACCTGGGCACCGAGCACCTGGATTGTGACCACAGGGGTGCTGCAATGACCAGAAGTTCAAGGACCAGTCATAAGTATCATTGTTTAGCGCCATCATTACTGAACGAATGGTCGTAACCCAAGGACTATAGGTTCTGTCAATGGTACAATGTTTAGAAATAAGAATAAAATAACTATTACTTAACTTGAAAAGATAATGCATTTCTCTGTATTAAATAAAGGATGAAGTTTTATGTTGATGAGAGAAAGTTTCAACTTGAATACCAGTCTTTACACTTTAGAAATATCTTTACCAGATAACTATATAGAGGATACTCAGGCTTTGTTTTGTGAATATTTTTTTAAATCAAATTTGTTTAAAGTTCAATTTAATTTTTGGAGATTATTCTTCAGTTGTTACTAGGAGCCAAGTAGCTAGTTCAGCTGGAAGAATAATCTTCTAGCTGAACTAGCTATTTGGCTCCTAGTAACAACTGCTCCAGGTTAGTCTTGTATTATTAACTGTAGCATTCTTTAGCTGAGATTACTATTACGTAAATTAGTCATTCTGACTGTGGACGACATAGTTGGGTATAAAAAGAGATTCATTCTGACATGTTCTTCCACCGAAACCTCCCAGTTCCCACCCTTCTAGTGGAGAGTTAGAGATGATTGAAGCCTCTGTCCTCTCCATTCTGTACAACCTCCCTCAGGAATCCAGCTGAGAGAGAGAGACTTCAATTCAAAGTTGAGTAATAGGTTCCTTTTACCTAGTCATCACAGTCTTACATAGACCCATCACTACTCTTAGAAAATAAAAAGTGGCCAGTTGCATCCTGGTGCTTGGAAATTTGTCCACCTATCTATAAAAAAGTCAGATGCATGCTGAAATGGTAGATAGCGTTTAAGCAGAGTTATATACGGATGTTAGAAATCAACTTCAGTATTTTTTCTGGTAAAGTGCATTTTATCATTGGCTATTCTCTTCATGGTAATCAATTTATAAGAGAAGCCTGCCATACTTTCAAAATTTCTAAAATATATTTTTGCCCTAAGAGTATTAGGGATCCCTGTTGTATTATTCACTGTAGAACTCCTCTGTTGGGAAGACCTCCCTTTCTATGGCTTTTTAAAATGCTTTCCCATTTATCTCCCTGTACACTGCAAGCTTTCACATATATTCACAGTATCATTGTGCACAGGAAGCACTGAATCTCAAGTGCTGCACTGCATTTAAAGTCCATCAGGCTGTCCCTTGGGTAGGGAGTAAGCCATGGCCCACTATTGGCTAACTCTTGCTCAGTGAAATCAGGAAAGGCATCCAGCAAACCAATTTGGAAAGGAATAGCTGGAAAACACTGCTTGAGCAGTAGCTCATTCTCAGTTCTCAAAGCTTTGAATGATTGACCACACCAACACTCTTTGTGATACTACTTGCTTGTATTTTGAGGTGAGCTGCTTTGCTATTCATTTTTCCCCTTTTCCATCTTTAAAGACTGAACTCTTTTTATTTTATTCTTTATACCAAGGTAGCTGTGTAATTTGTAAACAGTTTCATGGCTAAATTTTAATGTACTGATTACACTGTGCTTTCTTGATGTACAGGTTAAAGATGAAGGTGAGATGAGAAAACTCCAGGAGCTTCATAATTTTGTATATAACCAGGCTTGTAGCTGGTTTCAAAGCTTAAGAAATAAATTTCGTAGCCAAATACTTCAGCACTTTGGTCCAATGCCAGAGAAGGAAGAAAACATGCAGGTATTTAGAGACTATAGTATCTGACAATTGTGAGCATGACCTTCACTTGCTTTGCTAGTAAAGAGAGTAATACAGTAACTAAATTAATAGATTAAGAAACATGAGATAAAAAAGAGGAAGCACAAAAAACAGAGAGGCTGCATTACTGAAAAAGTAGGAAAAAATACAGTGTAGATTAATTCTTATTTTTTTTAAAGTTAGGTCTGGAGTGTTGATGACTACATTTAGCCTAGCATTTTAAGTACGCTTGATTTCTTAAAGTAGTCCTTAGTTATTTTACTTTTAAATTTTGTGAAAAATGATAGTCAAAAAGAACTGTATTTTTAGATTTAGGAAATATATTCATTTTAAAACTTAATTGAATAAGCACTTTATTATAATATTTTTGTCCTAAATGTTCTGAGTTTAATATTATTTCTGTTCTTTCTAGGAAACAGCTAATGGACCTGCTTGGTGTTGGTGGCTTCTAGCTGTTCTCCCGGTGGACCCTAGATACCAGCTTTCAGTGCTTTCTATGAGGTCTTTGAGAGAACGTTTGATAAAAATTCAAGCTATATTGACCTATTTCTCCAGAGACCAGTCCAAATGATTAATTGTCCAGACCTTACTAAAACATTCTGGCTGTAACTTCAGCTGATTTTTTTTTCTTGCAGAATTTGCACTTTTAGTCCTGATTTGAGAACTATTAGGAATATTTTTCCTATATCAATAGTTGTTCACAAGGACCACTTCAGTTAGAAGGATGCCATTAACTTTGCACACACACAATCTAGCAGCAAAATATGGGAAGGTTTATTTGCACTATATACAAATGGGAATGTATCATACTATTGTCAAAATGTTTCCACTGACTATTAAGAATGGTGGAAAGTGCAAGATTTAACATGTATCAGTTCAAGTTTACAGTATTAAGGATGAATCCAAAATCTTGCAAATCAGAATTTGCCTCAGCTACAGCAGCACCTTGTTGCTATTTGCACAAGTATTTAATATTGACTGTTGCTATAGCTAAGTTCTGTTTTAAGTACTTAAATGTAAATTTGGTACAATTTTCTTGCAAAATTATTGTATTAATTTGGAGCCATGTTAAAGAACAGTTGAAAAATACTTCAAGAAGCTGTTGCCACTGTGAATATGTTACCTATAGTTATATATTGTGAGAGACTAGAATTAAACATAGATGACTACTAGTGTATGTTATTTGGAGTTAATCAACAGATTAAACAATCTCTCCAGTATATAACAAAATAAAACAAAAAGTAGGCATAACAACACTGGTGGGCTCTGTTGGTGAAACCTTCAATAGGCTTCATGGACTCTTGTTAGTTAGAGAGGAAAAACTTGAGGTCTCCTCTCCTGACCTGGTTTCCAAAAGAAATCATTTTTCTACATCAGTTTCACGACTGGTGAAGCCTCCCTGTTCAGAGCATACTAGGCATAGTCATGGGAGCCGTGTGATTTTGTGGTAACTTAATTCCTTTTCTGGTACTTTTCTAATGCTAGAGCTAAGGTTGGTGGGACACCAGGAGGATGTTTTCAGTCAGATTTCTTCCTCCAAGATTGGGTCTTTATTTCCAACTTTGGAGGGAGAAATTTCATGCATCCCATACCTTCTGGAATATGTCTTCTCCAAACCCTAGGTTTTCAGTGACAGAAAAATCATTCCTAAATTTATACACATAATACCAAGACTAGTTACAAAGTCTGCATTTGAAGAAAATCAGAGATTTTTAAAAATTTTGCTGTGTCCCACTAACTGCTCTTACATGTAAGCTGGCCCTGTTTGGGAACTACTGAAGTATGCTTTTTTAAATACCAATTTCTGGAAAACAGAAGTTTGGAAACCCAGATTTCCATGCCTTATTCGTATCAAATTATATTGCAACACACAAGATGGCAGTCTGCTTGCCAATAAGTTCATTTTGTAGTTTGTTTCTCAAATGTCTGTCTTAAATGTGACTCATTTTATAAAGTATTTCTTTAAAAATTTTGCTTTTGCTAATATTTAATTTTCAATAAACCTAAAATTTATATTTTTAACATACTTTGATCAGAATTCTTAATACTTTGAGAACTTTAGCATTTGTAATGCCTTCTAGTTAATTTAGCATTTGTAATGCCTTTCAGCTTGTTGCAAATACTTTGCCTTACTTCAGCATGGCACTGAATGATTTTGATGACAGTGACAAACAGTTTAGTTTGGCTATATTCAAGTAACTTTTCCTGACTAACACTATACATTTTTGATATTGTCTTTCAGATTAGGGATTATTAACACTATTTGTGTGTTAAACATGCATCTCATGAAAGGGGACAGATTAATTAAAAAAAAAATCCTTTTGACCAGGAGCTTACTTTTTTTACACATGGAACAGCAGTGTTGTAAGGTTGATTGAACCAAGATATAGTGACTAGCCCAAAATCAGTGAGCTTCCATAGCTGGTTCTTCCCTGTCTTAGCCCAACAGCTTAAATGCTGTATCAAAGCTCTTCTGAAGCACCACCACCACACCTTCCAACTACACTTCCCAGAAACCTGTGGGTTGCATGGTGCAAGAGAAGATGAAAGGGGCATATCCCCACCCTCTTTCCCACATCCCTCTGGCCCCTGCACTCAATTGGTTGGCGGCAAGGCCCAATGGGTGAGTGGCTGCTTTTGAACCAAGGCCAAAACTTGAAATCTCTTAACAGCAGTGGGCAGCAAGGGAAGGATGAGGGAGCAACTCAGATGCCTGCTGGCAAGATGGGGGTGCTGGGGGTCAATGGGTGAGCCCTCTTCCTCCCTGGAGGGAGGGGACCCTTGGGGACACACCAGAATGGACAGCAGGGGTGCAGTTTTCCTCACAGTCCGCAGGTCCCTTTGTTCGCCCTCCTCCCAACAAAGTGGCAGGCAGTTCTGTGGGTCAGCCAAGGAGGAAGAGTGATTTCTTAAGCTCCCTGCCAGCTTCCCACAGATGGAAGCTGGCAGGAAGTCAAAAGTCACTCCCACTGCTTTTTTGCCTGCCCATGGTCATTCTGTTTAGGTAAGGAAATATCTCTGAAAGGTTGACCCAATGGGTCATGGGTTGTCTAGTTAGCCTTAAAATTCAGTGCTGCCTTTGGTGTGACTTACTTTTAACTCACTTGTTTTTAGGATAACATGGTATTCAGTTTGTAACTGATACAGTATGCTGTCAACATGTTGGTCATGGTCAAAACCAGGCATGCACAACATATGGTCCATGGGTTGCATATGGCCTGCCAAGCAGCCTTGTGTGGCATGTCAGCATTTTTTAAAAAGTCAATGAATTCACCTTCACTGCCACTAAGCCTCATTCCCACCACCACTAGCCACCAAACAACTGAACAGTGCGCCAGGTATTTCTCTGTGGCCTGCAACGATTTTAATTTATCAGTGTGGCCCTTTCCCCTCTACAAGTTGTACAGGCCTGGTCAAAATTATCTGAAGGTCATCTATTCATTAGCTTTAAATACTATCAGCTTTGTATTTAAAGCTAATTATAGGGAAGTTTGGGTAAGAACATTCCACATGCAAAATATTTTAACATTTTGAATAGTTTGTCTTTCATATATTTGATTTGTGGCAGGCCACATTCCAGAACAAAAACAGACTTGCCAGTTTATTAATGTCATTGCTAGCTTTAATATAAATGTTAGGAGAATCACTATATGGGCATATTCTGTACAGGATTACAAGTCAAGACAGGTAAGATTTCTTTTAAATGGCCAGTCATGATGGATCAGTAAGATCTATTCTATGTTAACGCATATAACTCTGCTTTTAAGTTATACTGTTTCTAGAAAACACGAGATTAGTTGCCTACAGTTGCTTGGAACACAGAGATCACCTGATACTCTTTACCATAAAATAGATTAGAAATAGTTTCCCATTAGTAAATCCTTATTCTAGGAATGATATGCCATCAAATTCTGGAAGCCAAAATGAAACAGTGGTTTAGGAATTCATCTATAAAGTATACTCTCTCATTTTTTTGTCAGCCTGTTTTAGGGAGATCCATGTATTCAGCATGTTTGATCGCAGCTTGGCCCATACACAGTGGTCATTCAACCCAAAAATCTGAGCAGCAAATTGGGCAGCACCTTCAGGCGAAAGAATTGTGGAACAGCCAAGACCTGTTAAAAAGCAGGACAATTATAGTTTTTAAAATGTATGGTTGTCAATGTATGTTATCTGTAGAGCATCTTTAGTGTAGGTGAAACTCTAAAGAATCTTAGTCTTCACAAATACTTCCAGAAACTTTAAAAACGCCTGTATCTACTAAAATGCTGAAACCAGCTAGTCCTCAGAAAATAAATTTTATTTAGTTCTTCCACCTCCCTCTCCTCTATGATTACCCCATTCAAAACTTATGGGTATTCCTTAGCAAAATCCATACATTATTAAATCATACATATTATTCACATATGCAATTCAGTTTAGGATATCCACAGCATATCACCTGATAAATAACATTTGAACTTCTAGATTTTGACCACTGTAATAGGTTATCTCACTACCAAAATTCATATATAAATGGTTTATCCAAATGGCACTCACTACTAAACTATACATTATTTCAAATAAAAGCTGATATGTAATACAGAATATTCAACAATGCATGCAGAAAATGGAGTTTCAGATGGATGTGGAAGTAAAGGTACAGACAGCCCTCTACTTACAGACTTGAGTTACGAACTTTCACCAATATGAACAAACCTTTTTAGAACTCTTAACTCCAAAAAGAGGAGGCAGGAGGCAGGGCAGCGGTGTGGGCAGAGAAGCCCTGTCTTCTGCTTCCAGTGCAAGGAGCAACAGCCCACAGACTGGAGAATGCGGTGGGATGAGCCGGTGAGGCAAGGTAGCAGAGGCAGCAGCACCTCCCTGGGCAAAGGTGGAGGGTGTGCGGAAGGCACTGTTCAGGGTGGTGGCGGAACTGGAGGAAGCAGAGGGACAAGCGCTTCCTGGAGGCACAGTGTGTGCTCTGCAGCTTGTGTTGGAAACTGGTGACCCTTTCACAAGGCCTTGCAGGAGGAAGGCTGAAGATCACAGCCTCCCAATGCACAACAGGTTAGGGTTAGGCAGCTGCCACCTTTGCCCAGGGAGCCACCACCACCTCTCCTACCTCACCCAGCGACAGAGTGTGCCACCCCCACTGGCTCGTCTCACTGTGCTCTCCACAGTCTGCAGGCTATTGCTCCTCACATTGGCAGCTCCTCTGCCCACACCACTGTCCTGCCTCCTCTTACTTTTTACTTGGCTGGACTTACGAAAAAAACACTTACAAACAGCCTCTTGGAACATAATCTGTTCATAAGTAGAGGACTGTCTATACAAAAATTCTCTTCAGCTAGAGCTGAAACTTGATCAAGTTAGAGAAGGAGCATACCTTTTTTGAAAATTAATACGTGGGCATTTTCCTCCTTTGTCTAGGAAACCCTGCAGCACGTTTGTGCAGGCTAAGTGAGAGGCAAACCCCAGATAAAATTCAGTGGCACCCCGCACACTGCATGAATCTTGCACAGGCAAAGCCCCAGTGTGATCAAAACTCACTTCTTTGTTTGCACATACCCGCAAAGGAGCAAATTTTGAAAAATAACTAAGCCTGTGGAGTCAAACTGCTTGCCACCAAGTGGTAACTGGGGCATGCAATGTATCCCACAGTCTTTGGGGTGTCTGTGGAATTATATGTATTAGTGAATATCACTATTTCTATCCTTAAATGGAAAAGTTTTTGTTGGGTGGTAAAAGAAAACCTAAAAATAACCAGGTAATGCTGACAAACATAACTTAAGAAAGTATGATGGAAGTTAAGTATCTTTAGTAAATGGGATATTCATTTCTTACACCATTCAGGGGGTCACAGTACTGCAAAGCTTTTTAAGTCCTATCCTTGAGCACAATCCTCTGTAGGTATATTGTAGAAATTGTAAATTGTAAATTTAGGATCCAAGTATTTGTCCGTTCTAATTTAAACTATAATTATTTTGAACAGAACTACAGATGATAGTAAGGTTATGACTTTACTTTCAAACATGTACCACCTCACAAAAGATAATAATTTGTTCAAAGTATTAAATAATAAAACTTACCACTAGGCATTCTCAGAGATGACCATATATCCTGGGCACCCCAATCTGCTGAGAGTGGAGGACAATTGACAACGGGATAAGCACTGTTTCCAGACATTACGGGTCCCAGGCCATTGCTTCTACCAGCCACTGCAACGAACACTGTGGGAATCCCATCCCCTAATAATACAAAAACATATCAGATGCTTACCCAAACATGTTCTATACTGTTGTTCATTTTTAAAAACAATAGGAATATTTTGAGATTGCCTTTGTAGTTAAAAAACAGTTCACTAAAATAGAGAACTTAGACCAATTTGGGTTTGTACCTTCATATTCTGCTTTGATCCTCAGTGTCTCATCCGGTCCTTTGTGAGCAGAGGTCACTCGTAATTCACAAGGCACACCGTAACTGCCACATGCCTTCTTAATTTTTTCACAGTGACCAAGATCTGAGGTTGAACCCATGAGGACAACCACTCTGCCTTGACTCTGTGGTTTCAATAACAGCTAATAGAAAAGATCAAAAGACAATTTAAAAGTACTGAAAACAGTGATATAGATTATCTATATCTCACACACTGATGTCAATACCTCCACTCTTTCAGCCACCCATTCAAAGTTTCTTTTCACCATCTGCAGTGCTTCAGGAGTCACTTCTTTGAGATCACGGTAAGACTGAAAACACAAAACAACAAAACATTATATACAAAATGCACAAGATTCACCTATACATACCTATTTAAACTGCCAATACCGTATTTCACTGAGCAACTCCAAACATATATTTATAATCTGGTATTAACACAGAAGTCCAACATATGTGAGCATCAAAAATGCAGTTTATAAGTTGATGATGTATCTCCAATTCCTATTTTGAAACTTCCACATTTTATTTTCACTCAGAGGCAAGGCCATATGCTGATCTGGATCTCCAATATCAAAGCAGATAAACTAATAAATTATGCTTATATGATTAATAAAATCATGGTTCACTATTTTCTTAACTGACAGTTAACACATAACATTAAGAAAGTTCTGAAAACTACAGAGATCAAATAACAGCATTAGGCTCAAGAGCAAATCTCAAGTGTGCTTTTCACAGCTCATTAGTATAAGATAAACAATATTTCTGGAATATGAATTTTGCATTCACTCACTTCCTCTCATAGGCAAACCCTATTAATATAAGTATTAATAGCTATTATTTAAAATACACACGTACCCCAACAGGATTATCCTTGCCAAAGCTATAATTAATTGGAAAAGTCTAAATCAAATGCATAACATGTTAAATGTATCTTTCACTATTTTAACTGAAATGTAGTTAGAGATTTTATTTTTGGACGCTTAACATGTCTATCATAAAATGAATAAATTAGCAAAAGAAAAAATATTGAACAGTTTTCCAATTTTAACTGTAGAATTTGGCCTTCCCCAATCTTCTTTTCCTTCTTCTGTTTCACCTGAGTTGAAGAAACAAACGTGGAAGCTAAGGAGAACAAAAGCAGGTTTCACACAGCACAGATACACACACCCTATAAAATTGCAGTATTGGCTTACTTTCAGAACATGGACGGAAAACAGAATTACCTGTTTGTCCTTTTGTTGTTTTCTATCCCCAGATGGCCACAATCTCCAAGAATCATTATCAATGACATCAGCAAGGACAATTTCTTTTGTGGCTACATTAACCCCAAACTCAACCTAAGAAAGTCACAAAAAAGGAAGCATTAGCTGAATTCAACAATTTCATTCCTTAATTTAAAAACCAGGAACCTTTTTAAAATGTAATTGTATCTACCTTCAAATCCACTAGCGTACAATTCTGGGGCTGCCATGCTTTTTCAAGTATTTCAAAAATGGCTCGGGTGGACTGTGCCATGATATCTACTTCGGTTTGTCCGATTTCAAGGCCAGCAAGCTTAAACTTAACTTCAATGAGTTGCTCTTCAGACCACTGTGGATCATTTGCTGCATCATCCTGTTATAAGAGTGATATTTCATTGGAATAACTGACATCCTCATTAGAGATCCAGTTCCATTTTTCCATTCCATACAGAAGCAAGCAACATTTTTCACTGAAATGTCACATTTACTTGAGGGTGATCCTGTAGGGCAGTGATGGTGAACCTTTTGGGCTTGGCACGTCAAAAATTCGGAAAATGCCTAACTTGATTCTGCTGGTGTGTCACCCTCCCGAACAAAAGAGGAACATTTACATATTCATTTATTTTAAAAATT